GACTCAGCTCGCCTAACCCACCCTTAACCCTAACCGGTCGATCTCACCTCGCTTCGCTCGGTTTCGATCTCCCTCCCTAACCCTGAGATAGATATAACGAAGTACTCACTCTTCAGTCAGTAAGGAAAGACTGAAGAGGGAGGACGCAATCTGAAGCCCTTATATACTACAGAGAAGTGTCTATGACTAATCAAAGAGCGGTTAGTCACATGTACCATAGTGCGATGAATAATACAATGATAAAAGAATTGCGACGTATCGCACCATAGGATGAGTAAGAGATGAGTAAGGCATAGACCTGTCTAGACCATTCTGGAGTAGTACGGATTGTCCTAGACAGTACCAGAAGAGTCCGGAAGCATAGCTATAGTACACGAGCAGAGAGTCCCAAATATGGTAACATACTACATAAGCGACTACAGCTAAGCGCTAGGAGACGCATAGCCTCGTGTAGTCCGGACCGGATAAGTCCAAGTTCAACACCTCCTATTCCCTAGAAACTGGAATCAAGCCCCTTAATTCCAGGTTTTCCGTGGAACAAGGACCGTAGCACCACAACCAGGTCATTTCACCTGAAACAAGCTGGTGCCCCAGGTGCCCCACAGCCTCCCCCATGACCTCCGGTTGGGTTAAAGGTGATTTCTCTAGCTGTTAGGAAGTTGTGGACCTTGTTCCGATTTTACAGGTTTCAAATTTACCAATACTTGGCTGTTTGAGCTAGAACACGAAGTCGTATTCCCACATACGTACTTCAAACGTACAGGAGGAACATGACTAGCTATTTTGTACTACAGAACCGACATCCACTTCTGGCTGCCGCCCTCGCCCTCGCCCTAATCAAATGCCGCGCGCGACTCACTTCTGCCTCTTGTAGATTTTGTCGAGGAACACCTTAAACACTTCCCTCTTCAACTCCACGTCTCCCGCGCCGACGTCCGCACCCTCGGTAGGGATAGTCTCGATGAGACCTATGATTCGCTCGTATGCACCCTCTTCATACTCGGCGTACCTCTTCCGAATGCCAATCTCTTCGTACAGCGCCTTCACACGCGCTTCGGCTGCCTTATCCTTCACGCCGTAGTTCTCGTCGAGGACCTTCCGTTGCGCAGGGGTTGCAATCGCGAGCGCGGTGTTGACACACCATGAACACTTGTTGTCGATGATGTCCGTGCCAACCTTACCGAGTACCTCTGGAGGCGCAGCGAAGTCGAGGAAGTCGTCCTGGACTTGGAAGTACTCGCCAAGCGGGACAAGAATCTTCTGCGCGAGCTCGTAGGGGTCGTTCGTCGATGAGTGGGGAATGCCACACATGTACATGGCGAGGGCGACAGGGAGATAGAAGGAGTAGTAGGCGGTCTTGAAGATGACGATCTTCTGGTGCCTACACGCGCAGATGGAGATTAGTACACAGACAAAAGAATGAAGAAGACTACATGCTTTGCAAGCGAGAACTTGCTCAAGTCGACGTTATCCTCGGGGGCAGTGATGAGGTCAATCAGTTGCCCGATGTCGGTCTGGAAAGTTGTGTCGTGAAAAACGTCGAGGAGGTAGACGTAGTACGGCTCGGAGCGGAAGTGCTTCTTGAGGAGATAGTAGATGGAGCCTTCGAGCAGATACGCGTCATTGATAGCAAGTAAGTTCACGCCCTCGACGCGGTACCAGCATGGTTGTCCACGGCGAGTAATCGATTGGTCCATCATGTCGTCCGAGACGAGGTAATAGGCTTGGAGCTGTAAGGGAAGCCTACGGTCAGCATCCATGCATGCGCAGGCCAGATTGTTGGGTTGAGAAGGACGAGCCTCGTGGACACGAGGAGTACGGGTAACGGAGGGGCGAACGCGCAGGCGGACGTAGGAGAAGAGAATCGAGCGTAAGAGACTCACAAATTCGACACCCCAGCCGAGAAGAGCAGCCTTGAAGTACTCGTCGTCGGTAAGCTTCCGTCCCTTGAGGATCTCGACGGAGTCGACAACAGACATCCCACGGTTGAGCTTCCCGCCTGTGACGTTGTAGTCGAGGTTCTAGGAGTAGCATCCGGCGGACATGCCAATTCGAAATCAGTACGGGCGCTGAAGGGGAAACACAGACGAGAACGCACGCGCTGGAACCAAGTGATTGCATCATCTGGCATGCCCTCCTGCTTGAGATAGCCGAGGAGCTCATCGCGGAGGACAGGGAAGATGCTCTCAAACTTCTGTCTCTTCTGTGCCTTAGCGTCGGCCATTATGCGTCTGATAGGCGCTTAGCGGTGTGTAGAGCAAGATGTAGAGGGCGGGTATCGGCAGCGGAGCGAGGGAAGGGCTGGCTGTTGAAGGTGCGATGGAGAGGAGGAGCTCGATGCGATGTTGCCTATATAGCTGGAACGAGAAATAAGATGAAGTGGCACGAGATACTCAACGAATCGATGACGAGGTCTAAGCAGCTCGCCCACTGTAAATCCCTGGAGTGGGGGGGGCGCTTCGAGTACGACCGCCGAAAATCCCAAAGTGGGGGGGGGCGCTTGCCGTCCATTTCTTATTCCGTCGTCATCGGACTAGAGCTCCGCTCTGACACTATCGCTGCGCCTCGAAGTTCTCCGACAGATACGGAGGAGCTTGCTGGTTGCAGATGCGCCCGCTCTCATCCATGCTGCAGCTGTGTTTACCTGCTTGGGCCACGGGGATCCCATCGCAGTACACGCGCTTAACTCGAGCGCGGCTAGGACAATATTGTCAACCAGACTTCGCAGCACATTCTCGCCGCCTTTTAACGCAGCTCTCGTCGCCTACCAATCAATACCATGACCTGGAGATGATATTGCGTGCATGTATAGAGAAAGGCTTGTTAAGCGATGGTCAGCATCTATACAATGGCTGTGCAGTGGTTCGCGTACGGAAGGATTTTTATGCAGCATTCTACGAGTAGAACGTAGGGGGCGTGGCAGCTGCTTGAGAGTCACAGCCGACAAGATGGAGCTTCCTACAGCAGAATCGGATAAGTGCGGAGACTGCGCGTTGAGGTGGCAAGAACATGCAAAGAGATCTCTCAAGCTGGCCATGCGGTCGACGACGAAATGCTCATGTGAGAGTTTTGCAATAGGACGGTTGGTCTGTTGAGCTCGCTGTGAGACTGCCAAGCCCAAGGGTGCGAACGACGAAGAGGCCAGCACGGACCTGGGAGAGCTTTGAGGAGCGTCCTTGAATGCGGGTCGAACAGAGCAAAGGGTCCTGTCGCAAGCGACCGCGGGAGGAAAGCGAGGATGAGGCAAGACTGCGAATACGGATCGGACAGGCGTCGCGTATACTCGTGTTACTTCAGTCACGCGAGGAGGCATAGGGGCACCAGGATGGAACGCACCTAAATTAGCTCTCACACAGGTATACGACTGAACAAGTGCTCACCGGAACAGCACTATTTGTCAAGGTCTCAGATTGTGGGCATCGCCATCGAACAGAGCAAAATCGCCGTTGAGAACCCCGGAGTCAGCTTGAGCCCGCACGAAGAAGCGCAGATTCAATAAGCAAAGCTATATGTCCCCACAGGAGAACACCCGAAGACCATCTCACGAGTGCTTGTGCCAACGCGTTGCTAAGTGTATATGGCATCAAGTGCGCGCGAAGCAGGGAAGCGCAGTCAAGCACGGGGTAAGCATTTGCCGAGCCCGGACGGAATATAGAGAAACAGGCGACTCAAGGCGACATCGGCCAACTCGGGTTGATTGAGAAACATGTGGTCAATAGATTGAGCTGGTACTCTAGAACAATACCAATGACGGACTGCTTCACAGCTAACGAGGTGTGGACCGTGAGACGTGGATGATGCGACAGCGGAAGGACGCTCAAGACGTACGAACAGGAGGTCGTTGGGTCTGACTGGAGAGTTACTTCGCCTTGCCCTTGGCTGTTCCCCCCGTTGACGATGAGTAGCCTTCGGTCCCGCTCGCCTCGTCCAGCCAGTCCAAGTCCGACTTCTGCCCACCCAAGTCGGCGAACCGCCTGCTGAACCGTCCCATACGCCCAGTGACCTCATCTTCCTCCTCGTCCATACCCACAAATCGAGCTGCGTTCCAGAGTGGGTTATTCGTCGTGTCGCGCGTGAGGCGGATGACGGAACGCGGGGAAGTGGTCCAGTGAACAATGGTAGAGCCATCTACGCGGACAAGGCGTTGGGGGAAGACGGGGACCATTGGATTGGGCAGTTTCTTTTGCCGTCGCTTCCAAACGTGCGTACGACCGTAAGGAGACGAGGATACAGCTCGCACTTGGAGATGAATGGACGAAGCTGTGATATTTGCGCGCTGTGCGAAGTTGAGCGAGCGGGAAGGGAAGCAAGAGGGGAACGCCATAGATGAGAGACCGAGCATTTCGAAAGGCGGTGGTGAACGAGCGGGTGAGGTAAACGGTTAGAAAGAGATGTGCAGGTGTCGTCGTCGTCGTCGTCGACGCTCGAAGGGATCGGCACGCATAAGCGCCTTGGTGCGAGCTCGAAATATCGAATAATATTCCAAATGAGTACCGGGGCCATTAAGCTACAATAAATTACAGTCCTCCATTCTCCGTGTGTCTAATATACAGTGGGTTGAGAAACAATGCGGTGAGTTTACAGGGTGCCAAGGAATGCAAAATAACCTGTGCAATGGTTGTGTGGGTGGGCATCGGTGAAGTGTAGCAAATTGTCCGTGTGTAAACCGGATGCATGTCAATCCATGCGAACCGACAACCTGCAGGCGACAGTGCATGAATGCGAGGCAACTACTACGCGAATGCCAGCGCGTAATGGTTAATGACTACAGCGAAGTGGGCTCAGTCGAGTCGGGCTTGAAGCGCAGTCGCGCCAGAAGCACGCTGTCCCATCGACCGTTATTGCCGGACGTAGAGATCTTACGTGCGTATTGCGGAGCTCCGACTGGTTCCTCCTCGTACTTGGGCCCGCCAAGGAAAGACGACGATATATCGAACGAGAACGTGAACTCGCCCCAAGGCCGACCGTTACGCGTCGCCGAGAAGACATTGAAGTTGACTTGGCCATCGGGATGCTCGTGACTGACGAAGAGCGCGTAGTCCTGAGCCTCAAGCGTGCCGATGACTACATACCGAATATCAATATGTGGACGTGCCAACGTGAAGAGGATGTAGACGTACCGAGATATAAGTCTTCTTTCGTTATGCGGTTCTCCTCCCCGTAGATCGCCAGGATAGTGTCCGCGTTAGCCTTGAACCACTTCTTAGGTGTTACGAGGTCTTCCATGTACCGATACACCGTAGACTCGGTGAACAGGTTTGCAGCCTTGTGTCCAGAGCGCAAGGGGGCAGAGTAGCGGCGACTAGGAAGTCATCCATGGTAAGGACACTCATCGTATGAACAAACAGCGCGCGATGTACGTACGAATAGGTTGCTTCTCCAGCGCGATTTCTTGGGCCCAGCCATGACTGAATCATGTCCATGCCTCGCTGGGCAACGTTGCGCTTATCCTGCCGCTGGCTGCCCTGGCTCACGCGCCCGTAACCATACAGAGATGGTATGTTCTTCACACGGCCGTTCGACGACTTTTCCGGCTCGAACGAATTGAACAGTGTCACGAATTCGCCGTAATTCGTCTTGCTGTGATACCCGACCGCACCTATAAGGATCTGCGACGGCGTCCACAGCGGTAGTGTTACTGGGAGTATGTAGTTAGCCCATGCACGTAGCGTCAGGATGTGAGACGTACGTACGCGATGGGTGGAATTCGTGTTGGAGGAGCATCCTGTACCGACGCTCATCGCGGATGTTTTGAGCGTGCTCGTCCGGAGGAGGGGGAGAGACGTGTCGCGGGAATTCTATGTGCTCTGACGATTGACTGTCTTGGACGGACGCGCGACTGCTCGTTCGGCTCAGGTCTGTCTCGGGATCCTTGCGATCGCGATAGTCACCGTGGTAATCCTGCGAGTGCCCCGTGACAGATTCGACTTCCATGGCGGTCATGAACGATACGTCCGTCGAAGGGGCCGATCCAACCTCGACAAAGGAGGCAGTGACTTCGTCTAGCGGAGGTGAGCTTGACAATCAGATCCATGGCTAATGCTCTCGGAGGGACTCACCAGGGAGTAGAGGGAGCGGTATGGGATGCATATCCGGCGACTTGCGTGCCTTCATCTGTTCAAGCCCCAGATGACGCGACACGGGCGACTCCTTTAAGTCCGCGCCATGAAGTGCTCGCAGCCGCTGGACGTCTTTGTCAATCTTAAGGAACGGCGGGCGCATAGTGGGGTCACGATGCCAGCATGAGTGGAGAACCTCCGAAAGCTGCTGAGACCAGACGCGCTGCAGTGGCAGCTCTGGACGCATGTTCTCGCCTGACAAGTCGTGTGAATCGACATACTATGTAGCGGTGAGAGGTGTGACTCACGGAGGACGAAGTGCCTCACGGCGTCGTCGTCAGCCATGGGCCAGGGAAGCGCTCCTTTGGTGAGGAGCTCGACGACAGTGATTGCGAACGCGTACACATCGATCTGCTGTGTGAGCCCGCTTTGAGCTGACATAAGCTCCGGAGCCTGCCAGCGTAGAGTGCCGTCTGTTCAGCGCAAGTTATATAGTGCTTCAGGTGTCATAAGGCGCAAGCGCACGTACGGGGAAGGGGCAGCCCGCTTACACGGTACGCCTCCGACTTCATCTCGCTCTGACCAAAGTCAGAGATGATGCAGTGATGCTTATCATTGACGAGCACGTTCGAGGCCTGTTGTTAAAGCACATGAAATTAAGCTCTCCCATCTGTGCTCTGTGTTCCGAACTTCAGCGAACCAGATCACGTACCTTGAGATCTCCGTGCAGGACGCCTTGACTGTGGAGGTATGACATTCCTTTCGCGATTTCGTGAACCATCTTGAGTAAGTCGACACTGTCTAGCGACGGCAGCCCCTTCAGGTAGGTTACGAGACTGCCGTTCTTGTAGTAAGGGCTAACGAAGAACCAAGGGGGGTCGCTGGATGCCGAGGACGCGCCAAGAAGCTCGCAAACGTTCGGGTGCTGGAGCGTCTTCCAGATCGACACCTAGACAAACCGGATCGGCGATGCGATTCACCGGGACACAGGTCAGCACTCAATCACCCACAAGCGATATCAAGATTTGGACGAATAGAGTAAGGGCTGGAAGGCGAATGAATAGACAATGCAAAGAGAGCCGCTGCCTAGATAAACACCGGCGGCATCCAATGACGATCCGCCAGACTCATTGAAGCACGAAGATCTTCCAGGGCAGCAGCTCGAGATGCAAGGACGGGTAAACTCAATCTCAATAATCTGAACCCAAGACGTCCTCGCGTCGGCTCCACGGTACGTACGCAGATAGGGAACTCAAGCGTCGAGGGTCATTGCTGAGACGCAACACTGATACGCCTGCTACTCCACCGCCCCCGACCACCACTTGCGCTGCTGCACGAAGTGAGGAAAATACTCACCTCATGCACGAAGAGCTGCCTCGGCGTCGTCGGCGCGAGCACCTTGATTGCCACAACATGGTTCCTCCACGTGCCTCTGTACACGTCGGAGAAGAAGCCCATGCCAATCTTCTCATCCCGCTCGACCTCGTACCGGGTAATCGTCCAGCTCGGCAGCGTCACCTCCGCGCCACTCAGCCGCCGGAGCGCGTCGATCCCGGTCTCTATAAACTCCCGGTCAAGCGTGTCACGCGGTGCGCGGGAAGACCTTCCTGCAGAGCTCGCGACTGAGCTCGACGTCGTGCCGCTGCTTCCCGTACTGTGCACCGTCGCGGACCGAGTAAGGCCGAGGGTGTCCGATTGGGCGATCTGGGGCCCGGCGACCTCGACGGCCGCGACGTTCGCGGACACCAGAACAGCCTCCTCCTCCAGGCTCTCGCGTTCGACTTCCTTCTCAAGGGCGCGCTGAAGCGTCTTGATAGCTTCGGGCATCTCATCACGGCCAACCTGGAGGACACGGATCATCTCCGCGTCATTATTGGCCTGCAGCGCGGTGCGCATGAGCTGGCGTAGGTCGGCGGTGTCATAGACCATGTCGCGCTCGTTCTGGCGCGCGGTGACTGCCTGGAGCTGTGCGAGGATGTGGCCCGAGTCATCGTGGCCCTCGGTGGTATCAGGCTCTATTGTGAGCAGGAGGCGGTTGGTCGGAGCGGGTGAGATCGCGCGTGGATACAGCGAGGGCTCTATGGTAATCGGCTGCGATCCCTGAACGTTGTGGCTGATCGAGTCCAGGAGCGCGGCGGCGTCGGCTTGACGTTGACGCTCTGCGGCCACCACCTGCTTGAGAATACGGATCTGGATCGAAGTCTGTAAAACAATTATGAGATTTCCGGCAGCGCAGGCGAGCTTTGCAATGGACGCACGTTGAACATGCCGAGGGCATCGGTCAGACTACTGTGGCAGGCACCGAGAGCGCGCTGGATCTCATCGCGCTGGAGGTAACGTTTGATAAACGGGCGATGGGACGTCTTGATAAGGAACATGTGAACCTCGCGGAACGATCTGTGAGACCTGCGTCAGCACACGAACGTCTATGAGGGAACAATCACTTACTCGACCAGGCGCGTGAGCGGAGGTTGCAACTCAATACCGACTTCGTCCCCTGCGTTCGCGATTTCCTCCCGGATAGACATGAGGATAGTCGCACAGCGTTCAGTGAGGCGGAGACATGCAAGTCGATTGATCTGGAAAATGCGGTATTGGGGAATGCAGGATGTCACGTATAGCTGGAGTACTCACATCGACCAATTGAAGGGCATCCCAGATGCTAAGTAGACTCCGTGCAGCCTCTTCGAGTCCTATAATGGGCGCAAACCGGAGCAGATCTACGCTGACCTCCAGGAGCTCGTGCGTGACAAGAGCGGTTGTCCCGAGGACGTTCGTGGCCGCCTCTATGACGCGCTGGACGAGGGTCAGGACGACAGACCACCATGCGAACAGGTGATACTCACATTGCGCGTGCGTATGTAACCGTCTGTCTGTTCGACAGGCACCGTCTTCTGCTTCCAGGGTCTCGGGACAACCTCCCGGGTCGTCCACCAGCTCGTGGACTGTTCATGGGTCGGGGTGGGCGCCTCGTCGCCATGGGCTGAAGATCTCCAGATGAAAGACAAGTCGCGAAATGGACTAGCGGAACGCCCGCGAAGTTGAACAGAGGAAGCGCGGCTCCTTTCGCGAAAATCTGAGTCTCCGGGAGCGAGAGTGGTGGTCGAGGATGAGGAGGATGTGGGTATGGGATTAGAAACTACGCGCCCAAGCGGGATGGCAGGTGGGCGGATGGTGGAGACGGATGCGCCTCGAGAGCGAACGGACTGATTAGATGCCGATTGAGAGGTCGTAGCAGGAGACTTGAAAGGGTTGGAGAATGAGACATCGGCGGGGGGTTGAGACGGAGGCTTGGGGGACGGGGCAGCAGGGTTGAGAGGAGACGGGACCTTGACGGTAGACGCCGCGGTGGAATCTGAAGACAAGTGGGAGGAAAGCGGAGAGGGCGTGGGAGGTGTCTTAGACAATGGGAACGACCTTGCGCGAGAAGACATGATGCAGTCACGGTATGAAAGGAGACTAGAGTGAGTTTGAATGAAGTGCTGCAAGGCTGCTCGTACACAGCTCACGGCGGCTGTCGAACGTGCACAGTTGACCGCAGGCTGTTAAACGGGCAGGGCGGAGGAAATGCAATGGTTATATATCTGAGAAGGTCCAAAAGGTGGTAGTCGGGCAGAGAGCCAGCGGAATGGAGGCAGAGTATCCGAGAGAGAACCCGCCGAGTGCAGACTCGAGCTGAAGGCCCGACAATGGCCGGACCGAGGTCGATCAATGCAGAGATCGATGCTCGCCGACGTCCAGAAAATCGCAGGCGACGGTCCCGAGTGCCCGGCGGCGGATGAAGATGCAAAGCAGCAGAGAAAGGAACCTAAGCCCGCTCTCCGACTCCAAGCAGCAGCACTGGCAGCACATGCACAGTGCCGGGAGTTGCTTCAGCTTTCCCACGCCACAATCCCCCGCCATCTGTCCCGTTCAGGCATTGCTCCTCGTTCGTGCCGTCCATCCATACCTCCAAAAACGCCTCTCCGCACATCGCAATTGCTGAATGCAAACAAAGGTCCTCCGCCTACCTCGCCCATATCGCCAGTCCAGCGTAGCCTGACTGCGTACTCGCATCTCCATCCCGCACTGATCACACTCGCGGACGCACATTTCCTCGTATGGCCACTGCCGCCGACGCTCATTGATCGAGACCAGATCCCGCCGACAGGCTTCAATCTCTCCCGAATCTCATCTGCATCTCCATATATCGACGGCGACGATGACCGCCACACCCCCAGCGATGATACCATACTCGTCGTGCATCTCTGCATTCCCCTTGACAAACAGCACCGATACACGACGCCCGCTTGCGGCCCGTTCTCCGAAGCTGTCTGCTAGATCGTAGTCGATGTGGGATCGTCCATGGCCAGCAGCCATACAGTAACGCCATCGTGTCTCCACAAGCGGTCATGAAATCAGCCAGGTCCCCGGAGGTGCGAGTCGCGACCCATGTCTCCCATCCTACTGGTCTACGCGTCTCACGTCATAACCCTTCTGGCGCGAGCTAACTTCAAGGGCGCACGTCGGAGGGTCTCAATCTCGACATGATGCTCTTACTTTTATGTCCCCTGAGCGCCTGATTCAGACTATATACTACATAGCAAATCTGCTTCCCGATGTCTAGTGACCACGCGAACTAGCGCGAGCACCCCACCCAGCACCGCTATGTATGCCAGATAATAGGGAAGGAGCTCGCCCACTTGATGGCCGTAGACCCATCTCGATTGGCCTCGCGATCGAGCCTGGTCCATACTGTGTACGTCAATAGCCCAACCTCTGCAATCGAGCCGTGCGCACTCCTTCCCCTATATGTAACGGCTTTGAAGCCTGAGCACCAAGGTCCTGAAATGCCGGTTAGAACGCCGACAATTGAGCGAAGCCGCAAGACCAACACGACTCCACCACCGCACGCCCAAAAAGATCAAAAGACATGATGCCACCCCGCCCGGGGTGCCAACCTCCATTTCCGAGGAGTTGCAGTAGCATACCACGCGCAGCGCCAGTGTACGTCACCGGAAGAGACGCGAGACATCAAACAAGCGTGGGTCCCGCGCTCCGCCAAACTCACGACGGCGGTTGGGTCCTGGCTTCAGGCTCAGAAGCCGTCCGAGCTGTTCCAGAGGTGCTCTGTGCCTAGCGTGCTTACAGGAAATGTAAGAAGCTCTCGTTATACCACCACATGGTGCAGGGGCACAGGGACGTACTAGGGAAGAGATCTACCACATCTCGTGTCACAGCCGTGATACAGACACGACAGAAGCAGCGATGCGGACCGGAATGCTGCGCGTGTGTAACCCAACGTCAACGCCTCCAGAACCCGCTCTGTGCATAACGGCGTTCGGTGTGATCGGCCTCATGCTTCGAGCACATCCGCGAGCATCACAGCATGAACTTTTCGAATGAACAGACAGCTCCGGGGGAAGTCAAGCGTGAAGACACGTACTGAGCTCCGGTGGCGGTGACACGGGGCATGCCATGGCGCACAGACTCAGGGACAGTGCTGCAGCGGCGTCTCTCTCGAGTCTCCGGGATATTTTGGAGTGCCGTGCCGATGTGCCGTCTAGAGTAAGATACAGTGCACTGATTCTACGGCAGCTCTGCTCGATGCGGACACGCAGAAGCATGAACGGCCGCCTAGTATCTTGCATGATTAATGGCACCTATATGCCGATCTCTCCAAACACGGTCGTCAACCAGCAGGCTTAGAGAAGCTGTCAAGACCACTTCTGCCGCCGATTACGCGGAGCGTCCGAGAATTAAGCTCACCGGGGTAGCCGAGAAAGCCCCACAGAGGTTGTCGGACTAACTTTCGAGGGTTGAGAATCAGGAAAGAGACGTTATTGTGATGTAATGACACGCACCATAGGACTCTGGTTCGGCTTTTCTTCGCGATGGTGCCTGGGAGAAGGCAGCACCAGTCTGGCAGCGGTGGTTAATGAGAGAGAGTACAGAGGAGCGTTTGGAAGCGCATGGTCCGCTAGGATAGGGAGGATGTTAAGACTCTACGGACGTGGAGGTCGAAAGCGTCAACCGAATCAAGCGGAAGTGGAGACGTCAGACAGGGAAAAACCTCCGCGACATGTCAGTTCACTCCGTGTTTGAGTTCCTGTGCCGAGACGAAGAGAGAGCGGGTAGTACATGAGTATCATCAGCGCTTGGCATGTCGCAGTCGCGGCCGACGTCGGTGCGGAGCGCCAAGGAGGACCGCCAGCGGCTACAGACGAACAAGCACCGCCAAACAATGCCACGAGTCGGAGAGTGCCAACTTGGGCCTTGGCTCTCTCACCCGCTCCCGACATGAGTGAAATGTGCGGTTTACGGTCAACGCCTACTTTAACTCCCACCCATCTATGGGAGAATATTCTCGTCCCTCTCAGGGGTCAGGTCAGCATCGGCGGTTCAGTCTCCCTCCGCCCAACCTTACCCCCAGTCGCACCGGCTTGGCATCCCTCCTGACCGTGATTCGGCGTCGCTACCAACCGAGAGCACCTTCCAACTGGGTCCAATTTGAGGCAGTATGGCAGCGCTACGTATGTGAGATATATGAAGTAGTACGCACATGTTTTCAACCGCTCTTTCGCTGCCGAGCACTGACGCGCCTGTTAGGCAATTTTATCCCTTACCTGCTGCGCTCTACCACGAGCTACGAGAATGGGTATATGACACATGAACATGGACACAAGCCTCGAACATGTGCTCTCGAAGTACCCGAGAAAACTCGTTCCTTGGTCAGCGGCGGCACAGACGTGGGAACACCTCGCATTCGAAATTTAGTTCAAGCCCGCCTATTCACTCTGCGTTCGCTAAACGTATTGCATTTACGGACCATCGTTATACCCCCACTAGACGTTCTAAACCCATAATATTACAACGTGACGTACAAGATTTTCGTCACTTGCTTGAACTGCACGCTTACACGCTGCGTCCAGGTCTCATTAGCACCTTCATAGACTAGCGCGTCCGCGGATGCCCTCCTACAGGTAAGATACCGTTGACCGCACGCTGCGCCTCTTTCCCTAACACCATTAACCCATTACTACGTCTCTGCAATCATCGTCTACGTGGCTAACGACCGATGTGAGCCAAGACATGGGAATCCTTCTCTTATGTCAGTCAGCAGGTACATCGCCGATGGGTACTCTTATCGCGTCGCCACGGAACGGTCGCCGAACGCACGCAACATTTCCATAAAGCGGTAGGTTGGGTGTTGCTCTGAACATCTTCGTGATAGCTGATTCGTCGCTGCACCCATGAGAAAGGGGTCTTGAGACAGTTGGCTTCCTTTCCATTCTCGAAACCTACACTATCTCGTCGTCCACTTCTCGTCGTGCACGCCGCTGCCTTCGCCTCATGCCCGTTGGAAGCCCTCTCTTCTACATTGTGCCCTCCGGAGAGTTGACCTCCTGTGGTTGACGGGCTCTCTCCGCTCGCGGAGGGTAGACGCCAGTTCTCACTCTAGTTACTCCGTGGGAAGGAATCCGCGCCCCATGGGTGGTTGATAGACTTGCACTGGTCTCGTGTTCGCTGTGACCGCGTCCGAGAGAACCGCGCGGTCCGAAGACAAGCTCTTACCCCCTTCTATCTGCTCATGACGCACTGTGCAGGTCAATACGCGCCTCTCGGTACGTCTCCGCACCAAAACCAGAAAACTGTTCCTGGTTCCGGGCGCGAACGCGGGGAATGGGCTCTATGCTCGGTCAGTTCAGCGTGGCACGGTACGTCTCGCGCATGCAACAGCACTCGGACGCGCTTGCCTGAGCTTCAACCTAATTGTACAGCTGACTGTTCTTCCCTAGATCTTCTCAGGGACGTTTGCTCCCGGCCAGCCTCAAGCATCCCTTGTAGCATGCCGACCTGACCTCCACCTGCCACCCTCTCCCTTACGCCCAGTACGAGCTATCCGCATCTCTTGGGTCTGGCGCCTCCCTATCTGCTTGTCACCAGCAACTTTATCTGCATGCATGCATCTGTTCTTCAGCGTGCACCAGGCAGTCCTAGCCATTTGCGCAAGCCGCTGTGGTTCGTTCCCCGGTAGCCAAGCTTCCCGAACAGCAGCTTCACATGGACAACCATGCGGACGAAGTGGACGATAGGGTCAGTCACTCTGCGTCGAACTCCTCAAGCACGGACATGAATAGAATCCCGCTCTTCCTCCCCAATTACCTCACAAAGGTTTTGATATGCGCCGAACCGGTTCGTCATGATATCTGTCGGTGTCATAGGACGTCAGAGCGCGTCATTGCCCCCCTTTGAGGTGAGCACACCTATTTCTCTGCTATATATGTCACATGTATCAGAAGATTCTGTCGCATTGTTAGCTCAGCACCCTTCTCACGTCGCAACGGTTCCTGGACCTGTAGCGAAGACCTTTGTGAAGCGTGAAGGGTCTCTGCACCTCACTAGAGCGAAGCTGTGGTTCGTCTGATGCACAGGTTTCCCTAATCCTGGATGAGTGCTCTCAGTCGTGTGTTGCCCCTTGCATTCTTGAGAGTTCACCGTGCCTGAACGGTGCATTAAGGTAGTTTCGGGCGCTTTTCTGTCTCCTCCATCAATGCATCTTGGACGTCATTCAAAAGTAAGCTCGAATTGAATTGCGCCTAAACGGACCGATCCGGACATCGAAATACCTATACACATTTTCCTCTTGTATTTCGCCAAAATCATCGCCCTGTCTCCGCATAGGCGACGTTCTCAAGTTTAGCTGCGCATCGCGCCAGCCTCTGGTGAGTCATTGACTCGATCATCGCATTCGCGGGCTCGTGACCAGCTATCTTAGGTACTTCCTACCATAGAACCTCGCCCGTCGCTGTTGCCCGCACCCCACCTCGCGGGACATACCCGCGACCGTGGTGTCGCGAGCCCGATATTCGAGGCTTCGCCCTCTCCTCCTCATGCCGCACCGACAGAGCAATCACTAAGGGTTTTCGCCGTCGCGCGATCCACTCGAACTTTGTGACACAAGCAGGCTTACACCTGGACACACACCCACGGCACACGATCGTTCTTGGAACGATATCACGCTTCTTTGAATGCGACATTCAATTCAGGCAATCTCGCGGTCCGGTTGTAGACAACTAGTGGCGCGGCGCACGCGGCGTGATCATCCCAAGCTACTGGCCCACTTGTATCGATAGAATCCGCTGACACGATAGCTTCTGTGGGTCGCGTCTTGGATCTCAGCTTGCAGCGCGCTCACGGGCCGATGCATCTCAGTTACGGCGTCCATATCTAACATTGTTTTCCCCCGCTCAATGTCTCGTATGGAGAAATGCCGGAAATCCGAAGATGACCCCTTGCAGGACGGGACGTAATAGCAGTGTTACGTTGACAAAGCTGCCATGCGAAAATCAGATAGTCCGATGGCCATGGGAAAACTGGAAGGCGTGGATTAAGGTTACGAAGCTCAATTCATTCAATGCGCACATTCCAAGGAGGTATGTCCTCGCGAATCCTCTCCGTATGGTACATAGCCAATCTGATTGACTGGCAACGAGACACGTCAACGCAGCGGTGTGCCCGACAGGGTGCATGTCAGACGTCATCGGACTCCTTCCCTGCACTATAAAAACGTTTGTATCGGATCGAAGGTGCGGCACAGTCTGGTTCCTTTCTTTGAGCCACCTTTTGCGCGTTAAACTCACTTATCAATTCGATTCGATCATCTTCTCATTCTTGTCTGTTAGCCATATCGAGCTCCCTCGAATCCAAGAACCTGGGCTTCTCCGTTTCGTGCGACCTTCCCGTTTCGGCTGTGGAATTTCGCGACTTCGGATTCCCCGTGGCCTATAAAGTTGCGGCGGCGGTGGAGTTTGGGTACCACTCATCTCACCCTGTTGACACCATGACTACCCCTTATGCTGCTCGCCCTGTTGATAACCTCGGTCATGCTACGCACCCCGCCCTTCGTACGTCTCTTTTCCGGCCTGTCTCATTCGCCTCGTCAAATTCTTACCATCCCGCAGACCTCCGGGATGCAAGGGATGCCCACGTCGTGTTCGAGGCTGTCCGTCTGGGCGTGTTGCCATTGATAACTCGCCGCCTCACTGCCAATGAGCGTGAGCAGCTTGTTTCTGGGAACGTTTTTGTGTGGGAAGAAGCTGAGCACAAGCAAGGTAAGCCCTTTTCTAATCGGAAGAGTCTTAGCCTCATTCACCTACGCTTTTATCTGCATGTTATCGAGTAGGCGGACTGGAACGATGGACAGATGGGAGGCGTTGGTAAGTAATATCGAATCTTTTCGACCGCATTCTCCCTCACGAGCGTGACCATAATGCCAGGTCGCAGAGCCGCATGCGAGGAGACTACCTCTTCTACGAAGAGAAGATAGAGACGACGGCGGAAGAGAAGGAAGCCAAGGCTGCCCGTCGGTATGTTGTTGCTGCACGTTCGTATCCCTTCTTCTCACGAGTGATGATTTTGCTAGGGCTCGGCGAACGTTGGACCCCTTTGCAGCCCCTCCAGCTCCCATCCGAAGACAAGACAGGCCAACCAAGCCAGATGGCCTCACGAAGCAGACGTATTCCACACACGTCCACACACGTCGAGGCGAACCGCCTCGAAAGTGGCACATCGTCGCGTACTTCTCAGTTCGTCCACTGTGTCACCCTTGTCGTTCGGGCGTATGTACTGACCTCTTCTCCCTTCTCCAGGGCGACGACTACACGCGGCTTCCCGTCATCGAGAACTACGAATACCTCCGCAATATTCGGGTCCCAGAAGGGATCTTCACGTCTGCAAAGGGGAACATCGCTCGATTTGGCCGCGTACTTGAAGATAGTGACGGGCACGAATCCCCTCGCGCGGGTATGGACTACCCAGAATGGTCCCCAGCTCCGTGGGCTCTCCCGTCTTCCCCAGTCCACCGTGGGGTGCCCACTGCTGATAGGCCTATGTCCTCCTCGTCGTCATCATCGTCTTCGGCTGCACAAAACGCCCCGAAGCAATACACGGTAGGACAACACCGACCCAGCAGTGCGTCTGGTATCCTCCCCAGGCTGTCTACTGTCATCCCTGTCGGACCACTCACACCTCCCGCTTCTCCAATGTATCCCACGAGTCCAAGCGGCGCGCCGAGTAGCTATAAACCGCTGACAGCCGAAGACCGACGAGCACTCAACAGCTTCCGGCTGGCCCTCTAGGGTATCGTCAATTGCGCCTTGGGCATCCGATTGTAATGGGGTCCTGGCCGCATACAGGGTCTGTTCATGTACAATATATCTTAAAGAGATTTTCGAACGACGTGGTTCGGATATTTCGCCTGACTGCTTGTTTAGCTTCGCATACATGTACGGTGCCATGCACAAGGAGTAACGTTGCTCCCATCGCTGGCCGTACAACTCCAGCTGCGAGAGGCAACTGCAACTGCGCCCACACAGCCCTGCCACGGTCTGTTGCCACAAAGCGGCACCACCGGAGGCACATCGCTCGCTCCTCGGAGCCCCTGAGTCTCTTCCTGCTCACGACGGGACGCATCCAGAAAACTTCAAGAAACGGAACTCTTCGAACTCGGTGATTGGTAGGGATTAGACATCTTGACAGCTGGATATGTAGGGAGCCCGGAGATCGGTCGTTATTGAGTTTTAGTCTTTCGGTAGGTGCTATGAGGCTTCTTGCATTGTATAGTCGGCCGATGGATAGGAGGCTTGCAGAGTAGGACCAAACTCATGCGAGGATGATTCGTCCGCTGCTGTTACGCTGTTCCCCGCCGCCAGGGCGGTTCCCCGATAATGATCCGGGTTCAAGAGCCCTTGGAAAGGTACTGCAGCCGTAATGGGACAGTCCCTCGGTGACTCATCCACTCTCTTGTCCGCGATGACATGTTGGCGGGGCAGTGCATGCGCGTGGTCTTGGCCAACCAAGTCCGCTTGATATAGAGACCCAGTGCAACCTGAGTGGATTAGGTGCAAGTTCTACCCTTTTTCCCAAGTTCGGTGGAATCTCATCTCTTCCCAGCACCTGCAAAACTTTGATAGGTCGTGGGCGTGAGGTGGTCAACTGAAGTGGAACGAGAGCTCTGAATTCCCACGCGGTCCTTGCCACCTGTGCCACGTGGCCAGCAGCTTGCCTCGCGCGGCGTCGCTCTGACCACACCATTCTATCTGCCAGCTCGGACGTCTCAGCTCTGGTCTCCTAAAATCCTCCCTGCTCGAGTAGCGTTAAAGCATCGATTCAGATAGCTGCTCAGTGAGGGCTGCAGCTAGACCCTCGGTCTGTCAGTGTCAAACAAGGGGCCTGGATACTCGTTTCATTGCTATCCAGTGGCTGCGAGCCAAGGTTCTCTCGGTCGGTCTTGGCTCCTCTATGCCGCGTTCAAAAGGCTTCGCTGCTGTTACCGCATTCTCACCTCAGGTGGCACCACACCGCGACAATAGATGGATCGGCTGTAATACGGGTAGCTCGGCTCGGGGTCCTACACTTGCTCTCGTGATGTAGCATGTAGTTCATACTCACTGCCTTAGATATGGAACTATCATATGTGTATGACTTGCCTTCCAAATCGCGTCGCTGAATGACTAATCTCGGAAGATCGCACTGTCCCAGTGGTATTCATCTCTCATATCGGCATCGAATAATGCTCAAGCAGAAACGATGCACGTGGCAATGTGCTATCAAGCTTTCGAAGGCTGCCGACCAGGATAGCATCATCTTCATTGGTTCTCACGAACAGACCCCCGATGTCAAGGTGTGCGCAAGTGGCAGAACTTGGTCCGCAGTCTGCAAGTCAAAATACATTTCGATCTGGGCGACCGCACCTAACTTCACCCTGACTGCACTGCTGACAATTCCTCCCGGACAGGCTTTCTTTTGGGCTCTGGTAGGGCGGCTGTGATCGGTCGGCATACGCTCGCTGGGAGACGTACCTTCCTTTGCTCCACAAGACACAATACTGATACCGCTCTCTCCGTAAGTATCCACGGTCCAACTGGCGTGAGAGAAGAAACCCATGTTCGACCAATGTCGTGTTCCTGTCCAAGAATACAGGATTATCAGCCAATGCAATGGCGACCTGTGTCCACTCAATTCGTATATGGGGTCGATGCTCGACAGTCTACATAGTCACTCCAAGCGAGGCCTTATCATGACTTTTCACCTGAAGGTACGTTACGCATTGACAATGCTGTCGTAGGGCCATGTCGGCGCATCAGCAAGCCAGATTGGTTGCGATCTCTACTAGTACGGGTCCACTACGGTGACCACGGATTTCCGAGATATAGACCCATGGCATACAGGTCCCTCCTGACAATTTGCAGTATCCCGGCGGGCTGGAATGCAGAACAGTCCCACTCGACCTCTGTTGCGATGATGGCATGAGGCATTTAGGTCAATATCTAGCTGCACGATTGTAGTATGAAACCTCCATCGCTGTGCTTTTGAGGGCATCTCGCAACCAACTTCCGTAACTAGTGCTAACGGCAGGTGCTGCGGTCTGAATGGTACCTGACGTACAGCGAGCTCGATTACTACCGACTCCCATTTTAATACCTCATCGAGCCCTTACTAGCTGCATTGCGATGCTCATTCTTCTCCAGACACGCCGGGGACCGCGGATTCAGACACATCACTTACGTACTGCTCGTCCTTCCTTTGCTTCATGTGTATCATCCCGAAGTCGAGACGTGCATAGGAGGTCAATCTAGGAAATTATACTTCACGGTCCCTTTCACGGAGTACTGCGCTAGATTGCACCTGGAGTTGTCATGCATAACACATACATTTTCCCATTGTGCTTCTATATTGCCATTGCCATTGCGGGTGTACTGTAGCATCCCGTCCGTGAAACGCCTCGCGTTGTGCCGGCCGTTCATTTCACGAATCTCACAGCACGGGGAGGGATGCATCTGTCGAGTACGATACCTAATGTCATACTAATGATATGAAGAGCAGCATTGATACGATGGTGATGCACGTCGTTGTGTTGGCTCCATTCGGTGGCGTTAGACACCCCCGACGCCGATGGACATGCTTGCCGCAAACTACCCTACAGGCATGGATATAGCGAGAAGCAGAAGCAATCAATTCGGAATACCCCGAATCTCAGCTAGAACATCCGACGATACGGCGTCCTTCATGATGTGGACCCAGAGGTAGGCTTGGACAGCTCTGTACGAGCGCGGAAGTAATGTATAAGCCCTACAGTAGGCCTCCCATTCCCATGCGCTGTATGACATGTGAAAGTAAGAAGCTATTACACGGCCACACCCAAAAGCCTAAGCTTCCATCACGGCTCTCGCCGTTCGCCCTATACACGGCCTACGAATTGAGCACATCACCACGTAGAAAAGGTAAATGACTGAAGTTGTCTGTCTCTACGAGTTTGACAGTGAGGCCAGACGCAGGAGAAATCTAGACTCACCCACGTCATCCGTGCTTCCTTTTAGTGCGGTGTCTATTCGACGTTTCGGCCTGCAAGCGCGACTACGATGCTCCTTTGGAGCATCGGACCATTTAGACCGCCGAAGATCCCGCATCAGGTCATAGGCTTCCCGAGATCTGCGCACACTCCGTTGTAGCATCGCTGAGCAGGCACGAAGACGGATATTGTAGAAGCACTGGAGCGGGGTGGAAAGTACATGGGTACAGAAATGGAACCGCCTTAGTGTCGATTGTAATGTTCTGACTAACAGGCTGCGCAGCATATTGCATGCGCCATTTCCGTATGCTGATCCTCCCTGATGAACTTAGCGGACATGCTGACACGATAAGTCGAAGCTCTTAAAAGCCGTCGTTTCCTCAGTCGCCGTGAGCTGGAATCCAAATAGGTTTCCTTCAAAAAAATGCGCTTGAAGGCTCTCTAAACTCCCTGGTAATCTTGGCATTGGGGGAGGTGGTTCCAAGGACCACGTCGAGACGCTTGTTGCGATCTGGCAGAAGGTTCGTACTCAGCCCCGAGCCTATACCGTGAACCATCCTCCTCCACGCCTCTGCCCAGCCTGTCACGGCCAGTCTCGCCAGAAGCATGGCGAGAATGGACCGGGCGATAGGATCATGGTCGAAGGTGGTCCCAAGTGCATCTGCGTCTTCCACGCAAGCAGGGTATACCAAATCAGGGGACTGGTAGGCGTGAGTCTGACTGCTGCGGGAAATAGCTGGACGTCGATTGCCCATAGCGTTCTAACGTATCGACGTGGCAGATGTTGCATCACCCTACGTCGCTCGCTGACCACCACCGCAGCACATCATCACGTAGTAGCAGGGGACGCGAAGAGCACTCGCCAGAGCTACGCTTCAGAAAACATGAACCCCTGACATGATGCCAGAGTGATTGCCAAGAGGGTTCTGGATGAACAAATGGATCCAGGCGATAGGTGCGATGAGATGCTGTGATGCTCGCACTTTGTGACGACCCTTATACCATCCTGAGTGCGAACCGATCTGAACGGTCCGACTTCTGCTTCCGCTCTGTCGCACACCCCAACGACTGCAATCGAACAGGGACACAGGGAGGACAGCGAAAGACACCGTAACGATGTTGAGATATTTGATGACACACCTGAAGTTGGACTCGTGCTAAGCACTGGGCATGCAGGAAGCGTTTCGCTGGGGGAGCTGAAGGTGAGATGTGTTGGGGTACGCAAAGAGCTTGTTGCGTAATAGCGATCCTCACATTCCCTCCAAGGAAACGTTAGAGGATGGGCAGTCGCCGAACGCCAAGCAAACTCACTAACTCGTTCTATCGTTAGCACCAAAAATCTCTGCGATCCTGGGAGATGTGCCGCGAACTACTTTGATGCGTACATGGTAAACGGCAACAAAGATTATATTTTGTCCAGTCATATCTGCGCAGCAGAAGTGCGATTAGCGAAGAGCACAGTGGCAGAACAAGGCACAAACCTCAGCAACGCAACTATTCGATTTGGATGAGCAGTCTTCCGTCGCGGACATAACACGGACAAACAACTACCGCCACATAGGTCCGGGCCCCTTCGTACTACGGCATACAGTGACTAGGACGTAAGTCAGAGAGAGGAGTGATATCTGCACCGACCGACGCAACCATCCTCGCTGATCAGTGTACAGAACAGTGACGGCTTCGACGCAATGATAGACGCAGTCCATTGCGTTGCCCTCGGGTACGATCGAGACACTATCACTTTATTGGTGGTAAGTACGTACAGTTACTGGATACATTGATGGTAAAATAAGTAATGCTGACAACAGAGACGGTCTAGCCACTATGCTGCGGGCGTGGGATGGGAGATGGGGTGCCAGACGCGGATGTTTACTGGAACATGCGATATCGATTGACTATATAGCTCTTACTGTACTAACAGCGATTAGGTATTGAGTAGTGTATAAATTGATTGTGTTCCTGCCACAACCGGTGTCCTCGGTTATCCAGCGGAGGCGATGGCACGTAGCCTCGAAGCACCTTCCCAGTACCGCAAGAAGGCGATGGACTACTTGGCGAGCATCACTTCAGCCTGAATGATGCCTCCGCCATAGACGATGAGACCTGTCAGAATCAGATCCTGGAGCGTGTAGTGCTGGGGCCAGAGATTCGGGGCGGGCGGATGACCGGCAAACCGTACCGACTCCTATAATGGAGAATACATGAAAGAACGTGAGTGCAAGAGCCCCTCCGAGAAGGCAGAAAACGACGGACGCGGATGAAACGATCGAACGCATTGGCAATTGCCTTTACCGGCGGGATGACATGTCCCAGAAGGCGGATATCCTCCTTGAAGCCCATGTTCTCGAAACCCGCCCACTACGAAAGAGGTATTCAGTCGTCAGGAAGCAACGACTGAAATTCAGAACAGGTTCTCACCGTGATCCTGAGCGTGCACCTAGACACTCCTAACTTCGCAAGTTTTTCGTGCGCAATATCAATAACAGGATACTGTGCACGTATCGCGTGGTCGGACAGGGTGGCGAGGGCAGCTAGGGGGACTCCGCGACCAGAATGATCGGCGATGGGGATACGGTCAGACAAGCTTGCTCCGGATGGACGAGATTGAGGAAGGACAGCAACCATCTCTATTAGGGTATGGCCGAGGCTTGAAAAGCTTCGTACGAGAGGGTATAGCAAACGCGAACCAGTCGAGAACGAGTACCAGGAAAGAGCCTGAGGGACCAGGTGAACGCATCTTCTCATTAATACTACCAGGGAGAGTACACCAAAGTGAAGCGAGGGAGCAAAGCCCATTGGCGTCCACAAACGAGAGAACGGAGCTGCCAAAGCGCATAACTCGAGGCAGACATAACAGCGCCAGGTGAGGTATTACGCGTGCGTCGATGAGCCGAGGGAGCGTCTCAGGGTGGCAAAGCGAGCAGACAGAAAGGTCTAAGCACAGAGAAAGACAAGCCGAACGAAATGCAGGGTGTTGCCATCATGCGTGCCGCCAAAGCTGGATCGCAAAGACGCTTGGGTCACAAAGCGGCACACCCAGCCTTCTGTGTCTAGTAAAATGGTGAGACCACGCAGCGCGTAATACAAAAGGGAAGAAGTACCGGTACCCTAGGAGACTGTCAAGAATCCGAGTGGACGGGCGGGACAGAGTATGGAGAGCGGTCGAGGACGAAGCGCGCGAGACGTCACCTGTGTGGCATAAAGGAAGCCATCCGTCTCTCTTGCGGCCAGTTCGAAGAACTCTCATCAAAGTGACTTTGCAGATAGATAAGCACAAAGATGTCTGCAACAGCCGTCCTCCAAGGGCAAGTTTGTATGTTGGTGTCAGAGGGATCTTGCTAGTCAGTTTCCCTCGGGAGAGTGGGTAATAGCGTCTTCTGTGCACGCCGCCCGTTGAGCTTCCTTATGCATAAGGGACAGATAGCAAGTTCAAATTGGCAAAGCAAAAAATGAAGCGCAGACATAAAGCAGAAAGCAAGCCCAAGTGTTGAGCAGGAATGGCACCCTAGTACATGGGGGCGGCGTAACGTCCTCGAGGCTCAAGTACGAGTACCAGTCACGCTGGAGTCTGATCCTCCACCCAAGGAGACATCACAGACGGAGAAATAGAGCCGGTGTGTGAAGCGAGAGAAACGCGTAAGCCATGTCGAGGACCTAGTCCCATAGCGTGAGGTGCCTCGAGTCCAGGGTTATCGAGTCTTTGGTAGACGTCAGAAACGAGTCCCACGCCCAAGCCTCAGTCTTTATTTGCGCTTGTTAGGATCCGAGGCCCTCGCCTTTCCTTTCTGGGCGGTCATCCTACGGAGCGCCCGGTTGATAGCAGTTTCCTCCAAGACATTGTGGATAGAAAAGTTGAGGAACGCCTTAGACGGTGGTGGGATGACCGTCAAAATAATTAATCTTATCATCATAACGAATGCCTAGCGGGGCTGGTACTCTTTTTTTACGGCTTTCCATTGATGGAGAGTACACCATCCAGCCTTGACAGCTGTTCCATACACTCTTTTCTCCGTTGAACTTACAATACATATGTTCCTATTATTGGGAGTGCGGAAAGGGACATCTTCAGAAGTTGCTAGCATGCCTGAGACAGGACGCAAGGGACGAGGGTAGCATAGAGGTCCAAAAGGTGGGCTATAGCCTCTAAATCCTTACGTCAAGCCATCAGCATCAAGGGTCGAAATGGAATGGGATGTCTAGACCACGCGGGGAAATGGCAAGGAATGATATGGTCCGGAAGTGAGTCAAGGGATTGTTTGCGGTTGTTAGGATTCCAAGCCTCCACCTTCCCGTTTTGTGCACGTTGGCGCTGGGGGAGCTTATGTAATAGGACTGAGGGGATGAGAGGCGCCGAGAGGTTTGTCTGCTCCCACCGCTACTCACCGCCCATTCCGCCGCTGCCAACTGACATTCGCCTGTCTTCAAGCCGTCCATGGAATCTCTCAACCTCAACAACCTCGCAAGCTCTCTTCCGTCGTCCAGCTATGCCAATGCAGAGAAGGAGCTCACAAACAACTTCAGAGGTACGCGTCCCGCCGTATCTCGCCCTCATCCGTGCATCTACATCCTCGCATATCGTCCACGAGCACTAATCCACCCAATCCTACCACCTACAGCTGCTGCTCTTAGCCTAACGACACTCTTCCGCTCCTCCAAGACTGCCTCCAAACGCGCATACAATGCCGGATACGCCGCAGCATGCCACGACCTCCTCAATATGATTCAGCAGGGCGTCTCTACCGACGCCGACCCATCCCGCGAAGTCACCATCGGTCGCATCATGGACTACATCGAGGCTCGTCTTGAGGCAATTAGGGCCCGCGAGGAAGAGGAAGACGAGGAGGAAGAGAAGGAGCGTGTCGCCAAGGGTGGTCCCGCTCCCGTCCCCGGTCCGAGCGGTACCACATCGTTCAAGCCTGTGGCGAAACCGTCCACTCCGACTGCTCCATCTATACCTCTACGACGAGACCAGGTACCTTTATGCTCCCTCTGCTCGACGCACCCATCTTCTCAACGCCAAGTTATTTGTGTAGCAGCCTGTCGCGCCTCCGACGCCGTATACTCCATCTACTATGGAAGGGCAACGTCCCTATGTTGCGCACGCTCTCGCGTCCCCTACCCCTTCCACGTTATCCCTCCGTCCTGCTTCTACAACAGCTATGCAGTCTCTGTCTCGCGCGCCTCTCTCCAAGTCGCGTTTGTCCGTGAACCCGAAGGACCTCTCCTCCCTGCCTCTACCTGCTGCTCCGATGTCCTTCACGTTCCAGCCTCCAGCAGTCGCTGAAGTCTCCATCAACCCTGACTCGGAACTGCTCTCCTTTCCTGCCGCAGCTGCGAGCACGCCGTTGAAGCGGAGGCGAGAAGCGATGAGCGCCGATTCCCCTGCTTCTGCGAACGCCGATGGCGCTGCAGGTGGCAGCGCCGGGACGAGCACGAGCCGCCGGCGGACGCGGAGCTGGCGTGGGGACCAGGCGCAACATCAGCACCGCGCCGACAATCATGGGGAGGCCATGGAGGTTGAGGAGGAAGGGCCGCAGCGGAAGCGCGTCGCGCGCCGATGAGGTACTCCTATCCTTCATCCTCCTTCCAGTCATCTCTCTTCGGATCTGTCGCGCTGCGGTCTTGAAGGTGATGGGTGAATATTTGCACAAGGGTCAGTTGGGGGCATCGTGGTGATCTGGTGTCGGGTCGAGTAGGAGAAGGACCTCGGGTTGACTAGACGAAGCACGCGTGACACATTATGGTATGCACTCCCTCCATTTTCACATTCGCATTCGCCTTCCCATTCGGGACCCTTTCGCACACAACTTAGTTTCGAGTAGCATCTCCGCCCGTTCTGCGCAATCTTTAACCCCCTCGACTCCGCAACGAGTAGTAGTACATCATACAGTTTGCATCGCGTCATGATTGTATCGTATAGCCATATGTTTTGCGTGTTACTCTATGTCCAATCTTTCGGCGACCATGACAGCAATTGTACAACACGTTCATCGCACCTCACACGCGGACGTCCTTCGGCTTGCGCCGCGGACTGCGAGGAGCATCACCAGCGAGAGGCGGAGTATTGCGACTGTGCGCACGGTGCTTCAGGCCGGTGCGCACTCGGGGATTGTTGCTCTGGTGAGTTCTCTTGCCGCTTCACGTGTACATTCCCCATATATCCCTTAGGCTAATGTGCTTTGCCCTTACTACCACAGTACTTCGATGTTTGTTTATCCACCGGTCAAGAATTTGGGAGTTACCTCTACGTATGATAATGAGGAAACTACCAACGATTGTCTGGAAATCTCTTCAAGGCTTGTATACCCTGGTGAATGAACAGCTGGTGAAGACAGATAGCGTTGCGTGCTCGTTCCAATCGGGTTTGCTTGCTCGTCTGGTCTGCAACTCCAGCCTCCCGCCCTAGCGGGAGGATGACGGGACCCAGGGGCTGACCACGATCCTGTTCGGCGCGTAATCAGGCGTCGATAACCTACTGAAACGGACAGAAGAATCGTGTTCATGACCAGGAGGCTAACAAATCGTGCTGCCAGTGTTGCGCCCGAAAGGGATCTGTGATCGTCGGATCGTGCCTGCAGCCGTCGGGAAGGGAGATCCAAAGCATCGTGCGCTCTAGAGCTGGACCTGTCAACCTCACCGTCATAGCCCACCCAAGTTCCCGTGTATTGCCTCGTGCACGACGATTACTTGAGCTGTCAACACAGACCCTTGCACCATTATGGCCAAACAGGACGACTCCCGGAATCTACGTCCGCTCGTCGAGGAGTATCTCGCAGTCTTCGACGAGCCCCTATATCACCATCTGGATATTCCATCATGGGTTCTCGCTGTCTCACCAAGTGCCGCTTCGGGCCATCTCTTCACCGTGCGCAAGCTCATCCGAGCCATGTACAATACTGCTGCCAACCTCCGCCTTGAGGACGGGGAACGATACGTTTTAACTACAGTCTGCGCCTGTGCGGACAACGCCAAGAAGAAGCTTTCGCCGGAGGCCCAGAACGACGCGCTCGCACGTGGGTTAGCACGTCTCGCGTCCATTTAGACGATGTACCTGCTCTGGCCATGTAAGTGACACTCCTTATTCATCATGACCGTGGCTTGTAACCCCCGCCAGTCTATTCGCGGCAGATGGAGTCCGTGCGTTGGGCCGACGCTTACGATTTTGATGACGGACCGCGCGCTTCCGAGACTGAAGAAACGTTGGACAATCCCTTATCCCAGCAGCGTCGGGACAGGATGCGAGCGGGAGTCAGTGTTTTGGTTAAATCAAGCACATTCTTATCCTCATAAGGTCGTAGGTCCTTCGACGGGACGGCCACAAATGCGCTCTCACCGGTCGCCCCGAAGCCGGCTACTGGGCCTTGTATCAATGGGAACACCCCGAGGCTGAAGTGCCCGGACCCATCTGGGACACAGTAGGAGCCGCACATATCTTCAAGTGCCCCTTTATACATTGTCTGCCCATTTTGACAACAACGATCAGGTACGTCGTAAGCCGAAGTTTACCCTCTTCGTAGACTCATATACACGTGTTGCAGGGCGAGCCTCTGGCTGGGATTACCCTGGATATTCTCCGCCGCTATGCTCAGCTCTCGGACGAGTGCATCGGGGGCATGGCGGTCATCGACAGGCAGGAGAACGCTATATCGCTTGTGCGTCTTTGCCTCACGCAGTTCCACACCTTCGGATTCTGCTTGGCACCCACGGAGGTCTGTATCTGTATCGCACTGTCACCAAGTATTGCTCGCTCATTCTCGCAATCCTGATGCGTTCCTCAATTGGCCGAAGATACGTACGAAATCAAGGATTACTCTAGATTCGTGTGTCACGTCGGAGTCCCGACGACCATCACCTTTCGAGACTATAGCGTCAGCGACGATGTTGGCAGCGGCCAATCTCAATATTCATCGCAGGTCAGGCAGTACGATGGTACAGATGCATCTGCTAGCCAGTTTCCGAGCCGTCAACTCTTACGGTTACACGCTACTTTGGCCGGCATTCTACACGAGAGCAGTGCGGCGAAAATGTTCGCCCAATTGATGGGTCGTTACACGGATCTCTTCCGTGGTTCATTAGATCCCCCCACGGCGACCGGTGGCCGAGAAGAGGTTCCGGAGGAGGTTTCGGAAGAGCGGCCGGGCAAGCGCTATCGGTCGGCGCTGTCTGTCGCAGTAATCTGACCTAATCCCTCAGACAAGTTCTTGAGGTTCCTACGAGCTGTGCAGATATGAGTAGAATGGTGCTTGAGGACATATCGCTACTTTCGAGTGATTGATGTACAGTGTATGGAGCAGAATATCGAACTCTCCCGCGTGGTTCCCGCGCATTGTTGGCAGGCTTGCTGGGCTCTAGCGGCGCCGCTTGGCCATTCGATGTCTTATTATCACCCGATAGGGACCATCCGTCCCGCAAATCTCCTAGTCAAATTGATGCGACCAGGAGGGGTTCCGGATTGAATACAAAGGAGAGGAGGCGTGTTCGATTCGGTTCAGAGATTGGCACTCAACTAGGTTTCCCTCTCGGCCGCATAGCGAACTAGTGCGTGTGCGGCTCAAGGTTTCCCTATTGCTCCAACCTACTCTATTCACTTAGAGCATCGTGTACTGGCGTCACTGACAATCGCTATCAAGCGCACTTCAGTGTGAGGCATGCAAAACATGTCAAATTCAAACTGTCAGTCAACTTTCCAAAAATTTTCCCGCCTGCCACAAGAGTAGGAATGCTGATTTGTCGCGACACTCGCTAAGAGCAGTGAAGCGTTATTATCAAGGTGTGTCGTTCAAAAGGTCGCCGGGGATCGTACACTACATCACTGCGACAAACCGCGACAATCGATCATGCTTTAACTGCCTCTCCCCCACTTCCTCCTCAGGAGCCTCTGCTTGCACACCGGCCGCTGCGGAGGTATCCAAAGGAACGGCGTAGGGGTCATTGTAAGTGCCGCAGAGACCGACTGAATGGACAAATGTCTACCCTGCACCGCTCTCGCGGAGAACACCGGCCAGAACGTGTAGCCGTGAGAGTTCACGGCTCGAGAGTTTGCTGACGTCCGTACCCCAATCTTCGCCCTGCTTAGACGATGAACCCTTGGCAGGGTCGCCACCACGATCATAGTTGACACCGTGGTCCTGGAAGGCGATGGTTGTCGGATCTCCTATGGCATTTAAAGATAAGATCTGGGCGTAGTCCTTGACTTCGTAGGTGTCTTCGTCCTGTGAAAATATGCGTTGGGAACTTGAGCAGACAGAATTCAGGAACTGCGCGAATGCAGATAGAGACCTCCGTGGGTATAAAGCAGGATCCAGAATTTTGAAAGTCTCTGAGACAATCAAACGAAATTGATATGGTGTTCTCTTGTCTGTTGATTTAGTCCAGGTCCTGGATGCGGTCCTCTGAGGGTTCGGCATAGCAAAGGAGAAGGTCTCAAAAGTAGCCCCGTCGGGAATTGATACTGGAATGCGAATAAATTATCAAGAAGGCGACTTCAATCTACAACGTACCAAGCCAATAACGTCGAATGAGCACTTGTAAATATGTGCCGCTCCTACCGTGTCCCAGCGGGGTCCATGCCCTTCTGCCTCGGGATGATCCCACTGGAACGGAACCCAATAACTGACTTCATGGCAACCGGTCAGGGGGCCGTCCCGTCGAAGGACCTACGATCCTATATGAGATGAAGGAAACGCTGACTTTGCATCGTCACTTACCCCTGTGCGCATCGTTATTCCGACGCCTCTGGGATGCAGGGTCATCCAGTCTTTTCCCCGTCTCAAATCTGGGCGGTCCATCGTCGTGATCATAGTCTTCTTCACAGCGCACGGACTCCAGCTGCCGTGAGAAGACTGGCAAAAGGTCACAAGCATGGCCATGACGAACAAGAAGGGTTACGCACAAGACCAGAGCAGATGCATCGTCCAATGGGCCGCCGTCCGTGCTAGCCCGCGTGCTAGAGCGTCGTTCTGGGCCTCCAGCGAAGGTTTCTTCTTGGGCTCGTCCACACAGGCCAGACCGCCGTCAATACATATCGTTCTCCGTCTTCAAGGCGGAGGTCCGCGGCGTTGTCGTACATGTCTCGGATGAGCTTGCGAACGGTGAAGAGATTGCCGGAGGGGGCACTTGGTGAGACGGCTAGGGTGCAAGATGGAATGTCTGATAGAGGGGCTCGTTGAGGACCGCGAGATATTCCTCGACAAGGCAACGTAAATCCTGGGTGTTGTTCTGTATATCTGGATTGCATTTTCTGCAGCTCAAGTAAAGGGCGGGAAATGTCACGTTGTGCACGAGGCGAGACGCAGGAGTTGTGTGAGCGGGTGTCTATATGGCTATCGTTTATGAGTTGAAAAATCAGCGCGAGTTGGGTCGATGTGATATACAGACTACGAGTGATTGGGTGTTCTCCAAACGAGTATGGCGTAGTGGAGCATAAGTGGCATATCCGAATCCCCAAGCCCACGACTCTGAAGTTCCGCCGTGTAGGTATCAGCGCCTAAGTCCTAGTGCACAGCCCGGTAGGGACCATCCCTGCAGGCGACCTGCTACCTCAAGGCGAATTCCACTATATGCACATGTCCACTATATGCACATGCATCGCACACACGGCAGGGAATCGTGCGTGTTCGATGGGCAAAAAGCCGATGAAGAGGAGACGCACAAGATAAACACTTTGTAGAAATGTCGTCTCGCCAACGGTTGCCTCTTTGCATCAAATTCCCCTCAACCGAAAACGACTGGATTGCTGCCATAACAGTATCCTCCTCGGATGCAATTGCAAATGGTGATCATGATGGGTAAATCCGGCTGAACCGAATTTCGCAATCCACGACAGTGCACAGGACTTACTCAAACGTTTTGGTCGTCCTCAGACTTCGCGAATGCCTCCGACCATCCGACTGCAACGTGCTTCTTGACGCCAAACACTGGTTGGACAACAAGAAAAAGCACCGGGACGGGATATAGGCCCATAGCCGTTAATCCCTTACTGCTCGAGGCCAACACGTTGTCCGCCGTCCCTGGATCCGATGACAGCATCGCAGTCGCCCACGAACCTTGGCTCCTCCCCGTCGCAGGCCATAAAGGCCTCACCGTCTTGCCCTCATCCCCCATCTCTTCCCTCACATACACTGCCGTCCTCCTTAACCTTGTAACACGCTGCAGAGTAGCCGACCACTACCAGCCACCTGAGACATGGCATCCATCAACGGTTTCCGCGTTGCACTCTACGTCGTCCTGGTACGCCTCATGGCTCACAGTAGAAAGGATCGGGCAATGCTGACCTTGTCGAACGACTTCTTTCTCCAGTGGCTCTTCTCCGCCGTCCTACTTGGCCTGACGGCCACGCGGCTCCATTATACGCTCTTCCTCCCGCCTTTCGACCCGCTGAATAGCGGAAAGCCATTCTACGACCCCATTGTCGCCGAGCTGCTCGTCACCTCCATCCTTGCGCTTTTCTGGTCGTCCTACATGTACGTCATGGCCGTGTCTGTCCCGAGCTGGTCAGCTCCATGAAGCCCGCGCTGTCGTCCGAGTCTGGGAAAGATTGCGGGGCTCACCCTGTGTTTCTGCGCGCTGACGTCTTATCGCTGCGCCTGACAGCATCCACGTTATCCACCGAAGCTACGACTACGGCAGGTTTTCGAGCTTTGCCGCCGAGCTCCTTGGGCTCATGGCCCTCTTCACGCTATTCCTGGTTGGCGCGGCGATCTCCTCGGTACGTCCACTGTCCTGTTTCTCCTCCACCATCTGCCCCTCCATCACCTCCTTGCCCTTCCCTTCTCTCCAAAACTGCCGCCTCCCACCTCTGTTTCCTTCTCAGACGTTACCTAGAGACAAAGGCTGATGCACGTCCACCTAACAGACGTTCTGGGGCGACCTGTTCTGGTGCCACGAATTCTGGCAATGTCGCCTGCTGACCGCGCTCGTCGCGTTCGCGTGGATGTGCTGGGTGATGACCTTTGCGCTCATCGTCATCTCCGTCCTATTCGCTGTTGCCAACTCGGCGTTCTTCCACCCGCTCCACGGCCGGTACGACCCGCACTCGAGCTTCTTCGGTGCGTCTCTTCTTTATCTTCTTTCTCGCTCTCGGGTCGTGTTGATGATATGGGACGTCATGCACAGGAGGAAACCGCAAGGACCGTCGCTCGCGCTGGTGCTGAGTATCGAGGGCGTCTGAGCGTATGGGAAGGACCTGGGGATCGGCTTAGACTTCGCTCTGGCTCTGGCTCGATTTGATCCGTCCATGGAATTTGGGTTCTACTGCATTGTATCCACGCGCGAGCTCCTGTAATATACAACCTCTGCATAGCATGATGACTGATGAGAACACAAACATACGCGCGAGATTCAACGTAGACCCAGCGACGCACCTAGCGAGCGCACGCGCTATCGCACCAAACTCCTCAAGGTTCTCCTCCCCTCCCTATCCTCACTACTCTGCCCCTTCAGACCCCCCTGGCTCGTCAACTCCTCTCCAGGAACCTTCTGCCTGAGCGCCTTGTCCGTCCTCAGCGGGGGCAAGCCCAAGTTCGCAAACAGCGCCCCGAATCCCTCCCGCCTCCCCTTCTCTACGCCTTCCCTGTCGACATCCATCTGCCACAGCGGCTGCCCGCGCCGGAGAAACGCGCCCTCGCGGGGCTCGGCCTCAGGGGCGGAGACGAGGTAGCGTAGTTCCTCCGGGAACTCGGGGTTGGGAGTGATGGGCGAAAGGAGCTTGACGACTTTGATCTTGACGACGCGGTGGCCGCGCAGGCGCGGGTGTGCATCCGGGAAGAAAGAGCAGAGCGCGGTGCCTGCGTCACAGGCCTGCGTGTCACCAACGTGCCCTGACACGAGCGGAACGAGGGGACGCACCTAGCCAAGGGGATGGCGTCCTGTCTTGTCCGACCTTCCAGCTGAGGATGTTCGGCATGGGCGGGGTAGTGTGCAGCTTGTCGGCGCCCATAAACCACCACCAGTGCACCTTGCTCCCGAAGTCGATGAACCACGGCTGCCTGAAGCCGTGCACGACTTGCGCCTTCCTCCCCCCGCTCCGTTCGCCCAACACCTCCCGGCCCATCTCCGCCGCGCGCGCGAGCAGCTCTGGACTTACGAGCCCGTCGCGCAGGAGGACCTCGCGGTAGACCTGGTACGAGTCGCGTGCGGCGATGGTAGTCAGCGGGAGGTGCCATGGGAGCCCACGCTCGGAGTCGGAGAGGAGGTTCTGGGACTGGTTGAAGAGGTGAAGGTTTGGAGGGCCCCGGGGGATAACGCGGAAGCGGATCTCGCCGGCAGTAGGTGGAACAGGCCCTCCGGGGGCGTAGTAGTAGAAGTAACCGGCGAGACCGGCGGGGATGGGTTTGCCGTTGCCCAGGCGGAAGACGGCGAAGGGACGGTTGTGGTGTTTCCGATCGTTTGAGGAAGGGTAGGTGGAGGAGGAAAGTGAAGAGGAGGAGGCGTAGGCATCCCAGACGTGACAGTAGTCCTGGAGTGCAGGGAAGTGGACCCAATCTGCGTGTGAGAGGAAGGCGGGGTGGAGGGAGCGGATGGCGTGTTGGACGTAGTCTTCCATGGACTCATCTTTCGAGACAGGCTCTTGCGGAGTAGGTCGGAGCGCGGCGGCAGAGTGGGAGGCACGAGATAGTGTGCATGGTGATGATGATGCGTAGGATACGATACGTGCTGTTTTGCGGAGCAAGGAGAGGTGGCGTATCATTCGAGAGAGGAGTCTTCAACTGCGGTAGCAATGAGACTGAGCAGCTGAAGCGCAAGGCACTTGATGCCAAGAGAGCGTCAGGAATGAGCGGCTGGCAGAAGGAACCACGCAACTCACCTGGCGCGAGGTAAGGTAGGAAGGTCAAGGGGACACTTCCAAGGAATTCCGACACGGTAAGAGTCTGCTGATGAGCTCTCCCTATCACCTCTAAAAGATCATGTAGACGTACGACAGTCGATTTTGGAGGACTGAGGAGGGAGAGCTCGAAGGAAAGGAAGGCAGACCGCGGGCGTGAGCCAAAGTCGTTTTTGCGAGGAGACAGCGACGAAGATTAGTAAGTTAAACGACCAGAGTGCCCAGGAGTCCAGCGGCGACAGACGGAGCGTCGAACCAGAGACCGCTCCTGCAAACGAGACACAGTTGAAGACGAGGTCGTCGTCGTCGTCTTCGTCGTCACTGTTCGAGTCTGCCGGGCAGTTCACCAAGCGCCCGCCTCTAGCGATCACGTGTGCTCCTCGAACGCGCTCACCGTCGTCGCGACGTCGCGCGGTTGTCTTCCAAGTTCCAACATTGACCTCGCTCCTTACCCTCATCATGTCCAAAGTCCTCCGCGTCCCTAAGCTCGACCTTCCCACTGTACTCGCTCAGCAGAACCCCCAAATCGACCTCCGCCTGGAGGCGTACGAAGTCTCCACCCGTAACTTCCTCAAAGCTGTCTCCAACTACACCCAGCGCGCCGTCACAGAGATCACCAACCGAAAGAACGCTTTCGCAGCAGAAAAGAAGAAGATTGCGGAAAAGACGGCCCAGATCGAGACCGAGACGAACCAATGCAAGCTCAAGGAGATTGAGCTCATCGAAGGTGCGTCCCCACACACTCCCACTCGTGGTCGGGCCTGGGAAATGAAAACTGATGAATGATGATTGATGCTATTGCGATGCGCAGTGTTGGACAAGGAGCAAGCGGAGAAGAAGGAGAGCGAAGCCAGCGTTGCCGCCTTCCGCCGCCAACTCGCCTCTATCAAGGAGAAATGCGCCTCACTCGACGTCGAGATCGAGCAGCACCGCATCGTCGCTGCTAACCTCATGCGCGGTACGCCCCGTTTCTCCCTTTCATGCCCTGTGTGTTTTCTCTTTGCAATGTCCTGACTTATGCGCTCTGTCGCGCGCAGAACGAAAACGCGAAGAATCCATCCTGGGCGCGCACGCCTCCCGCGTGCAGCCTGAGCTGGTCGTGTGCGAGGACCGCCTCAAGTGCGCCATCGAGGGTATCGAAAGGGACAAGATCCTCGTCCGCTTCACCCACCTCGACCCCGCGGACCTTCAGCGCGAGTTCTCCCTCGTCGTCGACGTCTCGAGTCGATCCTATAAAGGTACGCCTCTCCTGCCCTCATTGTTGGTAACGAGTGCTAAATGGAGACTTCATGCAGTTCCGACCACGACGCCATTCCTACCAAACCTTCCGATACTCTTAGATGAGCTCAACGAGTCGCGCGACATATACGCGTTCATCCGACGTGTTCGAGAAGCGTTCCGGGAGCTCGCTGTGCAAGGGCGATAGTCCTCCCGCCACCCCGCCTCTCCGACCTGGACTTCGCCACCTTGCCCTCGCTCTATACCCTGGATGTACTCTACGCTTCCCGCGCAACTGTAATTGGCCCCTGCGCATCTGTATCCTATCGATGTATCTATGCTCTGTTTCTGATGGGTCTCCAACCCCGGGACAATTAGCTCGTCAGTCTGGGTTGGCGAAAGCTTCACATCGTCACCTTCAGACCTCGCTTGTCTACATATCGCGATCCGCGGACCCCAATACTTCACAAGGCAGTCACTTACGAGATCCTGCCGCAGGCTATTCGACGACTTCGCACTCCATTTGTCTAGTGCTTGTCCCCGTACCGAAGCTACGATCAGATACAATCTGCAGGAGCTACCCACACCTCTAAGATGTGGACCTGCGCATCGACTGATCATCTATCCAAGTGTTCTCATGCGCGCGCCGTAGGCGTCCTGGATATACTCTAACTCGCAGGGGTGACAGCTTGACACGTAGGTATGAATGAAAGTTGGGCTACAGGTATAATCGAAGTGGTTCCATGCCCCCTTGTAAGTGCAGTTCTGAGGCGATTCGAAAGGAAAGAGTTGATTCCTCGCCATTTGAACCAACTCTGACTACCCTAAGGCCCAGTTTGCAATTCTGTTATCGATTCGGCACTGGATGGGCGCCACGAAAGGGAGAGCTAATTATAGAAGAGATCAGACTGGCACCTCTCGAATCGCATCGAGTCGCCATCTTTGACTAATACCCATTCTACTCCAGCTGGGACTAAGCTGGAGACCTGTGCGCGATTTCCATCGTTCTGAACAGATCCCCGCCGAATGTCGAATCTCTGCACACAAGATCATGGCATGCACGCAATCGACATGATCACCGCTCAGTGGCCACTTAGAATCGAGTCTCGAAACCGTCTGTCGTATGTACCTCCGTCACCTTTCTCACACCAAGTGCAGGGTCCTCTACATGCTCGCAATTTCCGAGTTCGGAAATCCCGATCTTCCGGAGGGAGGCCATATCGCGATTGAGTGCCCCAGTCCGCCGCAATGAACTCTCCTGGAAGACGCAAAGAACGACATCGTACCCTTCCTTCTCCCCTCCAAGTAGCCCACAACAATGCCTAACCAGCCATTTCTGCCAATTTCAATACTGGAAGGCCACCAGGATCTCCGGATACTTTGTAATGGCTACTGAGCCACCTCAAGTCCGACGCCCTACCTGTTCTTGACGCTCAAGCTCAAACCCCCCGAAGCTTGGTATATAAAGCCGCCCGTCACAGGTCAAGTACACATTGACCCCACTCCGCCACCCAGTGCAACGAATCGACTTAAGCATTGCGACTCACTATGGCTCCTACCACCCAGAAAGCACTCGTCATCCCTGCCGCAAAGGCGCCCTTCCAGCTCGTTGCCGACTGGCCTGTTACTAAACCGGGTCCATCCGACGTTCTCATCAAGCTGGTCTCGGTTGCGCTCAATCCTGCAGACGCGTGGATCAAGGAATTTGGTGCCGGACCGCCGCTCGTGCCTGGCTACCCGTTCATCCTCGGGGACGATGGCGCGGGTGTCGTCGAGGAGGTGGGTCCTGAAGTAACTAATGTCGCGAAGGGGGATCGAGTGTGAGTGTCTGTTCCGGCTTGCGACCTTCGCTCAGGAAAGGTTATATGCCTCGTACCCGGACAGGTTAGTTGTTGGGGGATTCAACAATGACCGCGCGATGTTCAAGGAATACCTAACGTACCCCGCCCGCGAAGTCGTGAAGGTACGTGCTCTTCGTCAAGTCCACTCCGACGACTCAGCTCACCGGGTATCAGATTCCAGACAACCTCTCTTTTGACCAAGCAGCCACCGTCCCCCTCGCCTTCGCGACGGCTGTCACCCCCATCTGGGCATCTGGAGAAGGCGCCAATTCTGTTCGTTTCACTCCGCCATGGGAAGAGGGCGGTACGACCAAGTACGCAGGCAAGCCCGCGCTCGTCCTCGGAGGGTCGACCTCCGTCGGCCAATTCGGTGCGTTTTGCCACATACGCTCCTCCTCGCGGCCGCGCTTGACTCGCCTACCCCACCCCACCAGTGATCCAACTCGCGCGCTTGCAGGGCTTCTCGCCCATCATCGCGACCTCCTCCCTCAGGAATGCGGAGTTCCTCAAGTCGATCGGCGCGACCGACGTGCTCGACCGCTCTCTCTCCCCCGCCGACATCAAGAACGCGCTCTCGTCGCTCACGGGCGGCAAGCCGATCGAGTACGTCTACGACGCGTGGGGCCGAGACCGCGAGAGCGCGCGGGTCGGGTACAGCGTGCTCGCGCCCGGGGGCGCGTTTGCGACCGTCATCCCGCAGGAGCTGACGGACATCGCGGACCTCGTGGAGGAGAGCGAGAAGAAGGGCGAAGGCAGGCGTATCGGGCAGGCTTGGGCGACCTATGACACGCCGGGGAACAAGGAGCTCGGGGAGGAGATCTACAAGCGGCTGACGGGGTGGCTCGAGACGGGTGCGATCGTGGTATGTGGTACCGCACTTCTCCCTGTGAACTTGTGGGGCTGATTTACGTTCGATCGTGGTCGCTAGCCAAACAGAGTGGAGGTGCTCCCCAACGGGCTTGCGGGGGTCGAGACGGGGCTGCAGAGGATGTTAAAGGGACAGGTCAGCGGCGTTAAGCTCGTTGTGCATATTTCCGAGACCCCGTGATCATGAACGTGCGCATCAGTGCATGTAGGTGATCTATTGCTGTGTTTCTGAATCACAGTATGGTCGCGTATGACATTCAGCGTCCCGTCTATGACGCTCTAGACCAGCCTGTTCATGCCATGATCAACGAGACAGATCGACAACACTGGTACTCACGTTGATAAGGCCATCCGCGCTGTCCTTGCCGGGTTACGACGATGCGACGTGACTGGCCGCGTCAACGCTGTTTGCGTCAAACAATGAGGATTTCAGTTAATAGATGTATGTACGGAAAGAGACAGATGATCAACCATACCTTGAAGTGCCTTGGCAAAATCGTCTGTTGCGATGGCGCCGGATTGGATGGTCTGGAACGTTGGTGTCTCATTCCAGAAATCGCGCAGGATGTTGACCTTCGCCGCACCGGGAGTAGTACTAGAGTGCGGTGCGTGTTAGATGCCACCCCCATTCCCGACGAAACGTGCCAGTGGGGCTCATGAGCACGCTTGAGCCATCGATTCATATCTTCAAATAGTCCAAATCCTGTATGCATGCAGATATGAATCCAGCAGCCTCTAGCAGGGCCGCCTAGTGCCACCTTTGCCTTGAATACGGGATGATCAGGTTGCCAGTGAATGAGGACTGATCCTCACTGGTGATCTTGCTCACAAAACGTATGTGCAAGGGAAACCAAGATGCTCGAAAGATGAATTGCGGCACCATGCTTTAGAGGCGAGCAGAGGGGCCTTCTGCCAACAGCGCTGCAGAGCTGCGAGCACCAGATGAACCGTCGCATTGGGCCAGACTCCTGTCGTTGTAGAGCGCTTGTCGTGGGAAGCCCTCACAGCCCCTTGTACTCAACGCCTGCGTCATCCGTTGGCATGTGCTGTTGGAGTTTGAACGGCGAGGCAAGCATGGTGCGAGCCTCGGCCGTGTTTCGGACGAGCAGTCTTGTCGCGCTCTGTCGCGCCTTGTCGCGTCTTGTCGCGCTCAGGGTAGTATCACCATGCTTTGTTCTCGAGTACGATGTCTCACCCATCTTGTAGCGGGGACGTCTTGTTTCAAATGTGTACTTGTTTCTCTCGATTCACGTCGGCTCACCTCAGTCCCGCGTATAATGCGTGCTGAGGTGAGCATATGCTTGTTACTTACTTAAACTGATTACTACGCTGTAGTTACTTTGCTATAGGTATTACAAATATACTAGTCCCGCGTATAACGTGTGCTGAGTTATATCGCTATATGTTGCTCATGTATATTCTCAAGGTGGGAGAGCTGGGAGTGTGAAAGTGCTGCGTGGTACTAAATGCTCTGAGGAGACTGCCTGCGAATAGTTACAGGCAGCCAATAAGGGCGGTCTCGTTCGTATCCCTATCATGGCCACAGTGGGGCGTTGTGAAACATGATGCATGATCTATCACGACGGGCATTTGCCAATGCCCCAGACTCAAACCGGGACAGAGAAATGGACGCCTTTCCCGGTCCTGGAAGTCCCAAAGCCTAGCTCCGGACCCGAGCCATCCGGCGCTACAGCCCCTGGAAGGGAATTCTTACGCTGACAAAGCAGATGACATGAGCGTTTATACCCTATCATGTGAGCATCGATGTCCTCTTTATGGTATCTGAGCGCCGGGTGGCTCGAGCTAGGCTTTAGGACCAGGACCGGGAAAGGCATACATTCTCGAGCATTGGTCGATGCTCGTCGTGTATGACCTTCTACCAATTGAGCAATTGCATTCTGACATGTAAGCAGGGATTGATAGGCATTCCTATGTATACACAAACTGATCCGTAGCCAAGCGGGTTCTTGAGAGATAACCACGCGAAGCTGTAGACATACATCAGCAAAATGTCATGGTCTTGAATCTGAACTTGGGCCAAGACCACGGTCTTAGAGCCAAGACCACGGTCTTAGAGCCAAGACCACGGTCTTAGAGCCAAGACCACGGTCTTAGAGCCAAGACCATGGTCTTAGCCTCAAGTCTGCAGTCTTGGTGGTCTTGAGGTCAAGACCATGAACTTGGAGCCAAGACCGTGAACTTGGAGCCAAGACCGTGAACTTGGAGCTAAGACCATGAACTTGGAGCCAAGACCACAGACTTGGCTCTAAGACCGTGAACTTGGAGCCAAGACCATGGACTTGGCTCTAAGACCGCGGTCTTAGAGTGAAGACTATTGTCTTTCAGTGCTTAAGCAACTTAGAGTTAAGGGTCAACTTGTCTAAATCAATATAAGAGTATCTAGATCATATAAGGATATGGTCTAGTAATGATCTTATAAACTGCATAATTGTGTATATGTTCAAGATAAGAATGGTCATGAGACCTA